GGAATGTTGTCTAGGTGAAAATGTAATCCGATATTTTTTATTGCCAGCTACACAGATGGTTTTCTGTAGCTGATCTTTTGAATGGTCTTTGAATTATTATTACTCTCGCATTATCAGTATCAGTTGGTTTAGTTTGTAATACGTCAGATGGGTTAATTACGCATGCAACGAAGTAGAACGGTATCACAGATGTTTTTTATCATTCAGTCGTTGCGAATGATATTATCCGACGCATCTAATCGCTACCATTGTGATTCATTCCTCTCTCAGAGTGCTTGAAACCTGAGTATGCTGAGAATTAACCGTCAGTCGGTCAGTTTCGAAGGTCGCATATCTTTTCGGATCTCGGAGGCAGCCGCGTCAGATATTCTCTCCAACATTCCTGACCTTTTCCAAGACTCTGAACTTAGGAGAAAGATAATTAGGGTCTGGAGTAAACTTGATCGAATGATTTGTCCGAGGGCATTCTAAGCGTTCTATTGGCCTTTGACCTCTTAGTCGAACCAGTAGTTCCTTTATCACCTTCCTTTCTAAAGGCATTCACAAAATGTGCCCAAACCCAAATCACCTGAGTCATTTATTTGTAGAAGCAGCGAGTGTACAATAAAGGCTAGTGAAAAATCTGAACTCTGGACTCTGTTGAGACGCGTGAACTGCTTTCAGGCAATATCATTTAACATGTCGTTCACAACTCGCGAAGATCGGAACCAGCGAAATTCGGAATGGCATAATAAGAGAAAGATATAGTGGAATTTATATTGATAAGTCGCTAAAAAACCTGCTGCAAACTCTGAATCTGTCGACAAATGAGGCTGTGGCAAACGAATCTGACAGGCATTTTGCTCTTCAAGGCACATATATTCTGGATAAAATATCTGACTAGAGATTGGAACAGATGCGCCATGGCTACCATCCATACTGACCAAGAAAGAAAGCATGCTGAATGAGCAGTTTCAGTCAGCCAGTTAAATCAAGGTGAATCGTTATATCACTGCCGTTGAGAAACCGTTTTTAAATTCTGATGAAATATTTAAGTCAAAGATGCATATAACCAATTCTTTAATATTATATATTATTGGCCAACGTTTAGAACGATCCTGAGGGCAGGTGACAGTAGCGCAACGGCTTAGTTGTGTTAGTTAGTTGTGTGCTCTGCATTCTTGAATGGCCGGGAGGAAATGTCACGCGAGGCGCGATTTTCATCCCTTCTTCG